ATGGCAAACATTCTGTTGCTAGCTTGAAGTGGCTCCGAGCAGCGAGACTGGGAGGATATTAAACCAGTAAAAGCTTATCAACTGATTCATTGATATGCTGTAAATTCCAGGCTTTTCATTTTGCTTTTGAGGGTGGCCGAGTCAACACATTAGTAAGCAATTTGCTGACATCCAGATGGATCACTTGGCGAGGCCTCCGGGCAGACAGAGTTCACCTGCCTACCTCTGTGAGTGCGTTTTTGTAATGTTTAGCTGGCATGTTACTTGTAAATGACCAGTAATTGCTTTACATATCAATAACCCGAACTCTTAATTACTTAATTTATCAAATATCTGAAATATGATGCTTAAAGGAAAAAATATATGAAGACATTCATCCTTACCAAAATTGAAAATTTTTCTGTATTTTGTCTGTTTCTGTAAAATAATATTAACCATTAGTTTAACAACTAGAACTCAATTGCCTTTTCAATTAGTTAAGGGCATCTGCCCCATGTAGCAGCGAGGGCGTAAATAAAGGCAGAAAGATGCCGAATACGTAAGAACTTCACGCTTAAGAAACACGTAAGAAAAGCTACACGTAGGACACGCCTTTGAATCGGCCACGGTAAGCGGTCGATAACTACATGTCGATTACATTTTTTCACTCATTGAAACATTAATCTTGCTAATTAACTTTCGAATACTTGAAGCTACGAGAGGAAAGTCCACCAGTTCGCATTTAGAAATTGGCCATAAATATACACTGAAGGATTTTCGGTATCTTTATTAACAAGCTAATGTCGACGTTATGACTGTATCCTGCGCGCCGGCTGAATCTTGAAAGTGGCGGTGACTTCAAAAGCATTCCACGGAGACACCGTTGTTGTTTTTGACCGCAAAAAGAAAATTGTACCGCGCCCCTTCGGAATATGTACGTTGGGCCTATGTGTCCTCGTTTCTAATCTACTGCAAACTGAGGGTCAGAAACGTTTATTGACGGCTAAGGGCCTGGGCGAGAGGAATCGGGTACTTCGCCGCATCTAAGGGGCTCGTCCGAGGAGATAAGAAATACAGGAAGGAGATGACTGCATCCCGCCGGCGACAAGTGTCAGAGGAGGGGCCAGAAGTGCTCGGAGCGCTGCCGCGCGGGGCGCGGGTCCTCGGGTCCCCAGCGCCAG